CTCATAGTAAGCTACCTACTTAAAACAAAACTAAAAATCACCCTGTTAATGAGTATAGCTAATTATCTTGCATTCTTTCTTTGATTGAATCTACTGCAGCTCACAACTACTTGACTGATGTCGACGAAATCTGGTAAAATTAACATTAACTTCTGGTCAGAGCAAACCACTTAGAGCGAAACTGAAAACCATCATGGCAATCAGTATAGTTAATTAAATACGTACGTTTTCCGTACGTTTTTATTTATAAAGATTATAATGCATTGTTTCATTAGTTGGGTACCCTCGCTGTTAACAATATCTTCGGTTGTAATCCCAATAATAGCTTACAAGGTTCGGCCAGCTTAGGAGATTAAAGTTATTCCTAAATACATATATATTAAGCGAACAATTTAAAAAAATATTTATAATAAAAGTATAACACAAAGAATAAATAAAAAATTATGACATTCGATATACTAAATAATATAATGAATATTGTTAATGAAAGTAACAAGTTCGTTTGTAATTAAACACAAAGCTACACAATGGGCTATATGGGCTCTGTCCATCACGGGTATCAAAACCCGGATTCTGTGCCGCTAAAGTAACAATAAATAATGGATATTGTCTGTTTCATGCATTGCGTTCAAATATAAAAAAGATATTTTTATTAAATGTAGTTTTTAACGCTGGTTTCAGAAATATAAATTAAAATTTAGAGAAATGAAAAGAATTTTGTTTACTAGGTTAGGTCAGTTTATGTAAGGTTAGATGAGGTTTGTTTGTTTGTTTTTAATTATGCACAAAGCTACACAAGGGCTATCTGTGCTCTGCTCACCACGGGTATCAAAACCCGGTTTCTAGCGTTGTAAATCCGCAGACATGCCGCTGTGCCACTGAGAAGGGGGGGGGTAGATCAAATTAGACTAATTAGTAAATAATTATATGTTTATTTAAATAAAGAATATATTTCATTTACAAAATTCCTTAAAAATGAAGATGTTTTCCCATTTCTTCCCCTCTAAAAATCAGTTCTCCAAATTTTAATTTATATTTCTGAAATCTGCAGCATATTGAAAGTACTTGGAATGTGGTTAAGAGACGTAACAAGCGACATTGTGGAACCAATCGTAACATAATTGATTCGTTTCTCTGCGAGTTCATTTGGCGTCGTAGGCATGAAAATGATGATCTAATTATTATATTTGTTACATTGTCACTGGATATATTGATGTTTTGCAATTCTTTTAAATACATGGGTATATATGTAATGCCAAAAACAATGGCTCAGTCTTAGACAAAAACTACACTATACCCCAAAACCTGGACTCCATCCGCAGAAAGTGATGCCTTGCATTTGGTGAGACGTCAAAGGAGTAATTCATTTCGAACTCCTCAATCCACAGCGAGCTGTCAATGCAGAGATCTATAGTCAGCAACTGGAACGTTTAAATCTACCCCTTCATCAGAAACGCCATTCAATCGGAAAGGTGTTCTTCTTCTCCACATGTGGCACGTTTGACGCAAAACAAGGTTATGGAGTTGGGTTGGGAAGTTCTCCCCCACCCACCATATTCTCCAGATATGGCACCATCAGATTACTATCTTTTTCTTTCGCTGCAACACCATCTTAATGGAAAAACGTATGCAAATGTGGAAGGTGTT